TCTGCTCTCAGCACCAAAATGGTGGCACACACCAGCAGATCAGGGAACGAAGTGCCAATACTCTAAGCATAGCTAGCTCGTTTAGTGGCTCTAGATCAGGGTGGAAAATATACATTTAGGTGATGACATCTGGCCGCTCTTCCTGCGGAAAGCGAGCGACCAGATCGGTGTTCAAAGCTAGCCTCGAGCCAGGAGTAGTTAGTTTCGCGCTGGCGCGGAGGTGTGAGCACCGTGGATATGACTGGTCTCTCCGCGGTGACCACGGTGTCGGGGGCGTAGCTTGCTCCCCTTTTTCGCGGTGTAGTTGTGGTGTGCGGCCAGTGGCTGGCCTCGTGTTTTGCTTTGGTGCTGTGTCGATCACAGGGGCCACCATCGTGCACGAAGGTAAGCCTTAACCCGAAGGAGAAGTTATATTATAAGGAGGGGAAAGACGTGCTTCATTCCCTACTGCGATTTGGGGTATTTCTTCCACCTTGTGCAAATTTACTCTATCCTGAAGCCTCCGAAGTTCGGCAACCGTAGAGTATAGCTGAAGGGAAAAGGTCATTACTTGACGTGTCAGATCTCGGAGTTCAGATCAGAACATACAATAAAAGCCCGTTGTCTCCTCATCTCGTTGAACAAGTGAACACCAAACTTGACAGTCTAATTTCTGTCAAAGACTGGCAATCCGAAGATGTCTGGGCAGAAAAGGCTAAAGGAACCAAGGCTGTAGACTGCATACTATATTATGTAACTGGGTTTTTGAGAGGGAAAATGAAAAAAGCTATACGCTGCCCTGCATGCCGATCCACTTTAGCATCGACAAGAACACTTCTACTAAAGCAGCACTGAGAAACGTGAAGAACAGAGGAGGCATTACACACCCCAACAAGAACCTTTTCCAGCTACTGAAGAAAGCGGAACAGTTCTTCGTGCAAAATAAAAGCCTCAAGACTGTCTACTGGGACACAATCGACAGTGTTCTTGACACATGCACAATGACGTTTCCATGCGCTGAACACAAAGAAGAAACAATTATAGATAAAATCGTGAGGGTGCAGGCGAGCTGGTGAAGATTAACCATGTTGAATTAACCTGAGACTGGGGTAGAGAAGAAACATCAAAACGTAGAAGGGACAGAAAATAGACAGGACGACGTCTCAAACTTAGCTAACTCATTTATTTAGTCCACCTCCTTATATAGTACCAATCTCAAGGTCATCTCCACCAACACAAAAGGACAAAGTTATACAGATCAAGCGCCACAGCCTTCATCACACAATGCAAGAAGGTTGACAATGTTTACAGGTCGACGCGATAAGGCAACATCCATCCACCCTCAAACTTGAACAAAAGGATCTCTTCCCTACTATTCTATACACAGTTCATACTTCTGAATAATAACACGCCCTCTCTACAAAAAAAAGAAGAAAAAAAAAAAAAAACCTGAAACGATAGTAGAGCCAATACACGTAAAGACCCCCCCCCCCCCAAAAAATTACACTTTTAGAAAGCTTTTTGAGTTGCTTCCAAACTGTAGTGAAGCCTGACTTATGCAGTTGCCTAGGGAGACCGTGCGGATAAAGTCCGCGAAGGACAGTTCTAAAGTGGAGGTCCCACGCCCGTCTTCCGCCACCATCGCGTAGTCCGCTTCGTCCAGCCCGCGACTCACGCGATACGACGGTGCGTGTGCTTCGTTTTTCTTTTTTTTTTTTTTCTTTTTTTAGAGCACAGCTTTTAGGCGTTTGTTTCCGTGTTGAGCGGCGTTGCCGTCGGCATAACCGCGCGTTGCATTATGGAACATTTCCCTGAATGATGTTACACGTGGCGCCACTCAACTTGGCAAAACTTTCCCGCTAAATTTAGCGGGGAAATTTTACCCTCGTGACGTCGCCTGAATGAATGCGACAACACGTGAAATTTAGCGGGAAAACTTTTCTTCTAAGTTTACCAGAAAAATTTCCCCGCTACATTTAGCGGGGAAATTGACGTCACGTGACCTCAACACCAATTCACTTTCCTTGCTAAATTTAGCGGAAATTTTCAGCTAAATGGGAGGGGATGAGGAAGTGAGGGTGTGGAAAGGGAGGAGGGGCATACCCTCCCTTCCATACTTTTTTCTCCTCCTCGAGAGCTGCGCTCTAATTCGGCATCACAAAGAATTGTAAACATCTTTCTTCTTTTTTTAGATCAACATACTTTTAGTTTTTTAGAAACCGCAAGATATGGGTTTCATATTTTTTGTAATTTAATATTGAGCGTGTGCCTTCAGTGACCCACGACTTTGGTGATTTTTGGTGGTTGTGTCTGAACAGCAGGTGACCATGGAGAGTGAGTGAATGTGACTCAAACCGAACAGTTTTCAATCGGCGGTTTTCGGGAGGAAAAAAGTGAAAGCTGTTTACAACTCCCCGTAACGCCGAATTAGAGCGCAGCTCTTGAGGAGGAGGAGGGAAGGGTACTTGGGGGGGGGGGGGGGTGAAGTGACCTGGGGGGGTCACGTGACCTTGAGGGGTCACGTGACGATGCCGATGATGTCATTAGTGACGTCACTGATGACGTCATCAGTGACGATGACGATGCGGACTCCGATGACGTCATCAGCGATGATGCGGATGTCGGTGACGTCACTGATGACGTCATCCGTGATGACGACAATGCGGATGCCGTTGACGTCATCAGTAATGATGACGATGCGGATGCCGGTGAGGTCATCAGTGACGTCACTGATGACGATGCGGATGCCGGTGACGTCATCTGGGAGGTCACGTGACCTCGGCGGGGGGTCGCGTAACCCTGGGGGTGGTCACGTGACCTTGGGATAACCTTAGGGGTCGTGTGACCTTGGTTACGCCGACGGCGACGCCGCTCAAGCCGGGAACGGGCCCCTAAGAGCTGCGCTCTAAAACACCGAATTTTGAGCTGCAAGTTGTGTTTCTGGTAGCTGGGCTCTCTTGTCATATACGGTACAAATAAAAACCTTGGCGGGCACATATCATGTCAGTGTCCATTTAAACATTCAAGTGTGTTTGTGTCGTTACATAGAACATTGTGCATATTTCTGGTATTTCTCCGCTCATGTGGGGGAGAGAAGCCTGTCAAGCAACACACGATTTGCTTCTCTGCCTCCGCACTCCCAGTGGAGACAAATAAAGTCTGCTCAAGGAATCGGTGGCCGAGTGGGCTGACACGTCTCAGCTCGAGGTGTGGAGCGAAAGCTTGCGCTGGGAGCCTCCTGGGTTCAATCCTCACCCCCGCCCGTTTCGATCTGGATGAGTTTCGTACCGGCACGCGTTTGTGTGATCACTACTGCGTGATGCACGTTAAAAACCCCAGGCTAGCGGTTGTACTGCCCTGGCTAAATGTCTCATTACAGATAAGAGACTGGTCACCCGCTGAAGCGTACCAACATCAAGGCTGTATAAACATACAAAAGCAAGACTTTTTTTTTTCTTTTTAGTTTGCTCGGTAATCGGAGCGCTGAGTTTCTGGGAGAGGAGGATTTGCCCATATGGAGGAGAAAACGGGACACTGACACGCTGACACCCTCCAACAGTTTTGTTTCATTTTTCTCAAGGAGATTTGTTATGGTGTCGAAAGGCTACTCAACCAATATTTTGCTACAGCGTCACATATATTTTTAATAAATTAAAAAACGCAACTGCTGGAAGCCGAAATTAAACTGGGGAGGAAGAAGAAATATAGAGGAGGAGAGATGTGACAAAAGTCAAGTGGCTGTGCAACTTATTCTTTTCTTTCAGTTAACGTATTTTCGGCTTTTTAGAAGACACAAAAAATTGGTATCATAAGCCCCGTAGCCATAGCAACTGGTAAAAGGATTAACGTCGCAGAGTTTGGCCAATGGGCGGAGCAAAGGCCGCCGCCAGCGCCGAATACTCCCCCCGTGGCTAGAGCGTAAACTAAAGGTGCGACACAGCGTCGACCAATCAGCAGACCGCAAGCGTTCAATCTCGGCCTCTCGGTGACAGTTTGCTCTGGGCCGGCTTGCTAGAGCAGCGTCTCAGCTGAGACTGGCTGAAAGAAAACAGTGCAAAGGATGGGGCGCGCGAGCGTCTCGAGACGCGGACTCCCGCTCGGCTCGTGCGCTGGCTTTGGCAATGCTTTCTTTCCCCGTCTCAGCTGAGACGCTGTTTCTAGCTTGTCAGCATTGGTTTGGAGCGCACGTTCGTTTATTCTACCCCTGGATATGAGCGTGACGAAAACCTTACATGCGCAAAGTTTTTAGTCACCAAGAGTTATACCTAGTGTGCCTTCGTGTGCGCTTTGCTTAGGGTGGAAACATCTGGCCATTTTGTCCCACACTTTTATTTTTATTTTTTGTTCAGAAGCGCGTGAAAGAGCATGCCTCTGCACGCGTTTGTGGCGCTGACTGTACTATGGCGACATTTTGTTTTCGTCGATTTCTTTGTATTTTACCCGTGAGCGCGTGCTGTCGGCATCGGGTACTACGAAGCAGTGGCGTACGCAGGATTTCATTTCGGGGGGGGGGGGGGGGGGGGGGCGGACCAACGGGAGAGAAGGGGGCAAGATAAAAAGAGGAAAGAAACTCCAAGAGGAAATAAAAGCATTTTTGTAGTTTTGTAACAAACTAGGCATTCTTCTATTAAATAATTAAAATAAAGTTGTCATATTGGTTTTGGGATGATTATGATACATAGAAAAGATGCCCCGGAAATTCCTCACCAGGAAGGCATTTGTTTTTTGCTTTTTTTTATTTACAAGTCACGTAAATTAACAGAAGACACCCGAGATATTAGAAAACAACAATCATAAAAACAAATATTTTATAAAGCACGACCCCAATCCACGAAGCGTCCAGTCATCGGGGCTGATAAAACAACGATGTATGAGTAGAAACGCGGAACGCCTTGATAGGTGGACTATAAACACTGGAAAGCGGCTCCACCATAAATCTCCCTATCATAAGCTCATTTAACCATAAAAAATATCACGTGATTTGTTCGTTGGTGTAGATTTCTATGGTTTCCGAAGCCCGTTCACAAAAGAAAGTCCAGGCGACGGGTTGAGGACAGTGCGAAACGGCGAATCACCTCATCGACATCAATCGTCACTTCTCGGTGCGAATACAGAAGGGCAAGTCCTACAAGCCTCGCTTGAGATGTTGTGGCGCGCAGGTAGGTCTTCAGGCGTCTCAGGGTGGAGAATGAGCGCTCAGCGTTCGCCGTCGTCACGGGGAGCGTGACCAAGATCTGAAGAATTTTTCGAATGTTCGGGTAGAAGAGGGGGTCACACGCGTCGAAAGCTTGAAGGGCACTCGCTGGAGCATTTCTGTCCTTTTGCCACTTGTTCCGCCACAGCCTCAGCTCTCCGATTGCCTGGCTCCTGTCAACGTCCTCCGCGTAGAAGTCGAGAAGTGTGTCTTCAGCAACTGGGTCTTGGAGGTTAGAAGCTACTTGCGAAGGAAGAACGCAGCTGAAAGAAGTTAGAACGGACTCATGTTTTTCAAATCTTGCTTTCAGTTGGCTGTTCAAATAGTCCAAGAAGGGTACGCAGACCTGAACTCGATAGAACGACTCAGGGTCGTTCAATGTGCTCACGTTACCCCGGCGTCTTGGTAGCTCTATCACTGTGTCAAAGAACTCGGCTGCTTTCGTGGCTCCGTCAAATATGCTTTTGAACTCATGTTCTACGTTCTGACGCATTTGTCCTAAGGCTGCATTTACTTCCTTTACGTAAGAAAGGGCTGATGGCAAGTCGATTGATACAGCTTGCAGGGCCTTTGACAGGGGAAGTGTCAACGCAAGAGCCTTAGCCGCTGTGTGCAGGCTGATTAGAAAGGCACTGGATGATGCTGAAAGCAAAAGCATATGTGCCCGAGATGCGTTGTCTGAAGCTCCACTCTCGTCCAACTGCTGGAGAGCAGCAGCAATGGGTTCCAGCAGCTCGATGATTGTCAATATGCAATCATGTCTCTCCACCCATCTCGTCTCACAAAGCGACACAAGGCGCCTCTTCCGGGACTCCGGGCAAAGAAGTCCAACCTTGTCTACCAATACTTTACTTCTGATTGGAGAGCCCCGGAAAAATGAGCAAATCTCTCTGACCGTGCTCATGCAGTTCCTTATATCGGGAACTGTGGCTGCATCACATAGCACAAGGTTGAGACAGTGACTTGCGCAGTGCAGAAACAATGCCGATGGGTGCTCCTCCAGTACCGCAGCTTGGACCCCGTTCAGCCGTCCTGACATTGCCGCGGCCCCATCGTAGCCCTGGCCTCTCAGGTATCGCAGATTAATTCCCACGCCGCTCAGGAACTTGATGATTTCTTTTGCCAGTGCCCTACCGCTGAGATCATGCACTTGAGCGTACCCAAGGAACTCTTCACGAACCTCATCATCTTGCACGTATCGGACACACACGGACATTTGCTCCAGACCACCGATATCCATCGTTTCGTCAGCCAGTACGCTAAAGGCCTTGGCCTCGTTGACCCTCTTGACGATGCTGTCTTGTATAATATTTCCGCAAAGGCCAATTAGCTCGTTCTGAGTACGAGGACTGATGTACGTTGCGTTCGCTGAGGCCGTGGAGAAGTGAGTTTGAAGGGAGGCATCCCCACATTTCCCCCTCATCCGTAGCAAAGCTCGGAAGTTGCCATCGTTTTCTTCTGGGTCTTTGTCGAGCATCAAAGGTCCCGAGTCATTATGGCCTCTCAGTGCAATGCCTTGCCTTCCGCAGAAGATGATGGTGTCTATCACAGGCACAAGTCTCTTGCGGTTGTTCTCAACCGCTTGTCTTCTTTGGTTGTCGATCTGGCTCAAGATGTTCGGCCTGCTTCCAGATGTAGTTTGAAGAAAGTTGTCTACGGACACCTGAGCGTCCATGTGGTGCTTACTTGTTTGGTGGGCACTGAACACTTCGATGGCCTTCTTCCAGTTTGTGAAAGGCGCCGTTATAAGTGCGCCAGGCTTGACGTGATCTCCTTTGCCTAGGGTCCCCTGACCTAAAAGCACGCAACTTCGACAGAAAACTCCAGAGCGGACGTGCGAGTAAGTCAACCAAGGCCATCTTTGCAGCCAGCTCATCTGAAACTTCCTTTTCCAGCCCTTTCCAGATTGGACAGCAGGAAACTTGTAATCGCTGTCTGGGGCCCATGGCTTAGTAAGCAGATCGCGTTTCACTGAGTCGTCTAGGCCCTTGCATCTGGTCTCGCAGTAACAGCCGATGTCGAGTTTATCCCCTGAAGCGAGGCTGGGAGTGTCCAACGATCCTGCAGGATATTTTTTGTAAGCAAAATAGTCAAATATTGCTATTTTAACTTCATGGTAATTTAATCAACGCACATGATTCGCCTGCCTCCGTTTTAAAGAGGAAATTGACGAAGATTAACATGGTCGAAGTACGAACTGCGGTTCATTTCTGGGAGCAGTATTTAACAGAAAGTCAAAAATACATTGCTGCGGTTGGGTGACAAGGTGGGTCGAAAAAGAAGCACTAAGTTTTGAAATAAAAGCCTCATTGGCTATAGCTGGTTGCATACGTTTTTGGAGGTCAACACGTCATAAAATAATAGAAAAACGAGGCTACGCTTGTAGTCCACTGGGCTTTCATTACGAGACTGACGTTTTCTAGATAGATAGGCAACCACTGCGTTGTTGTGAATATACGTTTTCTGGATATATTCACAACCACTGCGTTGTTGACCACAAAATAAACGAGGTGATAACGAAGTAGTTGTAACAATATATATCTTCTCCGTTTCGCAGCGAGCACGGAATTGTACGGAACACACTAACGCATTTCTGGCGCTCCGTGCCATACTGATGCTGGGCTCCGAGTCCAGTAGCAGTCAACACGGATGTCAGGCGGCATGCAGTGCACCTGGCGCTCATTGCGTCTCCAGCTGGTCAGCCGGGCCGCGCTAGCAGGCGACGCCGAGTAAGCACCGCCTCTGGAGTTCAGTGGGTCTGCGCCGAACATCCGCAGGCCACGTGCGCCCGCGTGTTCCCTCTAGGAGTGGACCTCGCTATATATTAAATGTGTGCGTGTGTGTGTGGGGGGTGGAGGGGGGGGGGGGGGACGAGACATCGCGCACAGCGGCATGACTGCACCACTGCGACCGCACACCAGAAGAAAGAAACGTGCACTGTGTGCTCTGCAAACGTCGTAGAGCGCAGCCAACGCAGTAGCGGCCAACGTTGCCGGCACCAGTCCCAAAACCAACATTATGTCAGTACCTGGTAATGGCGCTGACGTCTGTGAGAACTATGTATAAGAATTGTGCCTACCGGATTCATGGGGTTTCTCGGTGCTTCTTGGTTTGAGATGGTCCACTGATGCGTTCCCGATGCTTTCCAACACTTCCGCTGGTTTTTCCTTCTCAACAGCCGCTTTCTTGGGCTCTCCTAGCCAAACATCCAGCAATGTTCTTTTCGTTGCCATGTGGCCACGAAAGTCACTATCTCTCAGTGCGCACACTCCTTGAAGTTTCACTAAGAAACGCGGAAACTATTTGACTCGAGATCGAACCGTGTCGCTCATTGTCCGAGGAGCCAATCGGATATCGCTCTTTTTTGGACCAATGGGAGCCACGCGGTACAAAACAAACGTATACAATACAAAATCCAATTAAGAAAGGACACGTGCACATACCCCCGAAAAGTCCCAAAAACCTTCGCCCTGACTGTCGCCGGACACCGCTTCCAAGAAAAACCCCTCGTCGGGGTGCAAGACCAGTACCAATGCTTCTTCTCAAAATAAAAAAAAAACAAAAAAAACAAGGCTACAAAACATCGTGGGGCCCCGCTTTGCTCGAGCAAGGCAAAGCGCATGTATACGCACCCAGAGCGGGGGTCCTCGAGGAACAATTAAGGGGGACACGGGGCCGCTCTGTGGCGACGACAAACCAGCCCTGGCGACTCCACGAGAGGGACTCGCGAAGCAATAAAAGTCGAAGTAAACAAATATATTTTCTTTCCTGAGTAACGCTACGCAGCGCAGCATATAGCTCACAATTTACTTAGCAAATGGGATATGCGGCCGATTATACTAATATATATATATATATATATATATATATATATATATACATTATTCTTACTATGCCCTAAATGGCATAGTGCGTTCCCTCCCTTTTTTTTTTACAACTTCACAAAGTTGGCTCCGCTGTTGTAAAAAAAATATACAACACCGTTTTGATATTGATGAAGCCGAGAGTCAGTGACCTCGCCCACTCCCCACTCCCCGCCCCCCCCCCCCCCCCCCCCGCTCAGAAATTTCGGGGGGGGGGGGCCGCGGCCCCTTCGGCCCCCCCCCCTGTGTACGCCACTGCTACGAAGTGTGGCATCACCCTAAACAGAAGGACATTCACTCTAAAAAAAAGGGGCGTAGTGGGTACACCCACAGGATGTGTAAGTGCTGCCACATATACTACACCCATAAAGGTACATATATACACCTTCGTTAGGGGTGCATATGTGCACCCTATTATACACCTTCAGCATTCGGGGGTGCACAGATACATCCCATACTGGGGTGTGTCACTACTCCTTTCTTACACCCTCACTGTCGTTTCGGTGTGCAGGTACACCCCAATTTAAGGTTACAAGTATTCCCTTCTGCACACCCACCAACAGGGTTTGCTATTACACCGTTGTTTACACTCACCCCGCTCATAGGGAACAGAGATACACCCGCCAACAGGGTTTACTATTACACTGTTTTTACACCCACCCCGCTCATATGGAACATATATTCACCTCATTCAATGATATACCATTACACCTCTTTGTGCACCCATCTCAAGGAAACCCGTAAAAAATGTACGCGCCCAGGTGGTTGCAAAAAGGCAGGTAAACAGACACAACGGATTGTTTTCAAATCTACATGTTTATTAGACAGCCTATTTCGTAAACAAGCACAAACGTGCCAGCAATCTGTGATATGTGAAGATGTACAACGAAGCTGTTACACAACTGAGGAGATTACTGAGCGAACAAGAACCGGGGTGATTCTTAGGTAGTGTCTATTCTCTCAGCAGCCGGCAGAATTATTTACCCGAAATCGTGCCGGCAGTCGTCACTCATTGGCGATATAATCACTTCATCGAACGACGTGTCATCGACAGCTCAGGTTAGCTTTCCTCTATAAACACCTCTTTTTCTTTGTAATGAGCCGCCCCAGGCTATATGCGCGAGGTGATATATACGGGTATCACAGGTAGCGTGAACATTTTTTTTTAATGAGCCGCCGCATACTGTCGCCACGAAGCGACGTGAACGGGCGGGCTGGGCCGGTGAGCACGCGCCTCAGAGACACACGCACGACGAAATGTCCCTACAGCGTGTATTTCGCGTAACGAGTAACGGTGAAACGTTAGTGTCGACGAAACGTGTCTAGAAAACGTGTATCAACGGAAAGGAGCCCATGAAACGCGTGTTCACAAAACGCCGGGAGAATAAGAAAGTCACCTGCAGTTATCACATGATTGTAGTCAGCTAATGGCAGGTGACTGCCGATAGAATTTCGGGGGGAAATTATTCTCCCGGCTGCTAGGAAATAGACACTGCCTAATTTTAGACGTAACCCGGAACGGAACGGTCAATTGCTGCAAAGGAGTAGGTTGCAGCGCACTTACGATGAAAATATCGGACTTGAAATATGTAATCCAAGATAGATGTTGACACGGGCACTGCAGAACCACACAAACAGAAACACGGAAAGAAAGGGGTCTGTGAAGATTCAACACGATGTGGCAGAGGAAGTAATTTGCCAAACCGAACACTAAACGCATCACATGAATTCCTTGGGCTTTTTTGAAGAAATCACTTGTTGCCGATGTACGTTGGACTTTTTAAACACTGGAAGCCTTGGTACACTCGATTACGTTGTCACGGACGAAATCTCTGGCAGCCCCGCTGGTCGCAGCACAGCACACAAGAAACTAGACCGGGAATCAGACATTCCCTGATCGGAAAGAGCTTCTACGTCACCCGTGAAACCTTTGCCACATGATCACGCGCCTGCCATTACCCGCGCCCAGACAGCGGACTCAAGGCATAAAAAAAGCCTCCGGTTCATCGGTCCGACGACTGCGTAGCCTGTTCCACGCTTTCAGCTTAGGGAGAGAAAGAAAAAGAGTGGAGTGGAAAAATAGCAGCTCCTTCAAGGCCAAAAGGGGGGGCGCCCTCGCAAAGGCTTATCTTCAGGGGCATCCCAACAATGAACGCAGCTAGTGGATTTGTCCCATATATCCTCTTGAAACTTCGACCCACAGTTAATGGTGCAGTGGATGCTATCCGTGGCCTTGGCCTTCAGGCAGGTGCCGTGCTCTGCCTGATCTCTAGCTTGGAGACTGTAGTCACGTGATCCTACCCGGAGACCCGATTGGCCTAAAACAAGCATAGCGTCTACTCTACTGTCAATACCGAGTGAACAAAACAGTTCCATACTTCCTAAGAAACTGACCAACCCAAAAGTGACCCCCAAGAAAACATCCAAGCGCACGCTGGTCGGGGCGCGTGGCTAGCGTGGCAGTGCACTGATACACCTGAGAGGAGGATGCCCATTGTCGGTGCACAAATACACTGGCTGGGCAACTGAGGGTACATCTTTCAGGAAAGGGGTGCATGTGCTGCTGATACACCCTAGCTAGGGTGCCTCAAGAGACACCCTAGCTAGGGTGCCTCAAGAGGCACCCTAGTTAGGGTTATACCTTTTTACTCGAGCGACGCTGAAACGGCTAAAATTTCGAGTCGCGTTTTTAGAGCGCATGATCTTCGCTCGGGGCTATATCACGGCCTGTGGTTGGCCTCGAGACCAAGATATGGCCTGACTCCCAATACACGGCTCTGCAGGAGCGTCGCAGCCGCGCGGCCGCGCTCCGTCGGAAGTATCGCGCACGTGCGTTGCGCGCCTCGGTCACCGGTGGGCAGGACCGCTGGCGCAAATATGCTATCCGACAGAAAACCGAGACCTAGAAACTCGTCCATATTGAACGTTTTTTTTTTCGGAAAGCCGTAAAATGCAGCACCTGCGGGCCCTAAAAACGAGTGGATTAGTGGTTTTCAATGAGGCTCAGCAGGTTTCTAATTAAAACCATAAGCCGGTGCGTTGCTACTTATACATCGTACAAAAGACGGTCTGCATACAGATTCAAGCGCGAGTCAGCGCGAGATCCGTGCTTCGAATGCCGCATGCCAATGAGTTCGAGGGGGAAACTTGGGCACGCGGCATTCGAAGCACGGATATAGCGGCGACCCGTGTTGGCAAACTGTCTTTTCTATGAGCTGTGCTACCCCGACTATATGATTATCTTCGCTAATTAAAAGTTGATTAGTAACTTTTAGTTAAATATTTATCTAATCGGCGCATTCACCGATTAATTTAGCGGGGACGCGCCATGACGATGCATTTTTTAGTGCTGCTCTATTCGACTTGGCCGGTTACTGCGACATTTGTCGCATAAACACGTAGACGCTGACGAAATATTATTCCCTCCTAATATTTCTTCAAAAAATTCCGAGTGAATAGTTTATCTTTAATCCAGCCCCTTCAGAAAAGCCGCGGTGGATTAACTAACTAAAATTTATTATTTAACTTTAATATTGATTTGAGGAATCATGTTAAAAATGCAGTATTGACGCTGATTCCTATTAGTGCCTGTACGAATTATTAAATTTTAGTTCCTCATTCAATTACTGCGACGATTATTATCCCATCTAAAGTCCTCGGAGCCCCAAGCCACTCAGTGAGGACTGCATTTATGTACTCGCCATACCCTCTTTTCATCAAAATATGTTCGATATAAAATCGAACAGATTTTAAATCAACGAGATCCTGTGGCACGCATGCGCAGTATCGGTTTTTTTTTTGTTGCAGGGACTATAGCGGATGGGAAGAAAACGGTTCTTGAAAACTTCCTCTCGCTCGCCCCGTTCAGGGGACTTCTTGTGTGACACATTTTTGCAAGGTATTTGACGTTACTAGAATTAGTTTAGACGTTTGTAATTTAACTTTTTTAACTACAATGTTTGAACCGGATACTCATCCCTGTTCATACAGCCTCGCATAAATAGCTGGATACATTCAGCGCGAACACGATATCGGCGGCGCATGTTCCATACTGCGAACTCAGTAGAATAACAAACTTCTGCCTAATGTTGTACTTAAAGGGGCCCTGCAATCATATTTAAGCGTCTACCTTTTTTGCGGTTTCCACGTCTCTTGGGGTTGGGGCAAGCTAGCGGGCACGGAAAGAGTAACTAAATATCAGTGCGTCATATTTTAACCGGACGACGCGGAAACCTCCTCCACCGACGAGGGCGACCCGCGGTACCGAAAGCGCGCAAAATGTGACGTCTTTGGTCCTGGGCTTGTCACTGGTCAAAGCCGCTAAGAGCTTTTTTTTTAATCGAGATACAAAATATAAGTGTCGCGAACCG